AGCCATGTCATAACCAAGTAGTTTTCTTGGACCCACTTGGTATACATGGGGTCTCCCTTGGAAGGTTCTTTCACATCTCCCAAGAGATACCCTAATTTACCCCTTCCCCCAATAGCCATCATGGCTGATTGGGCCCATTCCAAATAGTTTGATCCATCAAATCTTACGGTTGTAATCTGAAAACCTGTCTCAGAAACACTACCATAACTGTTGTTCCCAGAACTGCCTTCTGCCTGATTTTTAAACTCCATTTCGTTCAAGAACCAGTAGTCTCAAAAATTAGGGTTACTACAGTCGAAGAACAGCACTTCTATCAATCACAATAAAAAAAACGTATAAAACTAATCTGTATGCACGGTATATGTGCATGAAACCAGTATAAGTCTGATCTGAAACCAATTAGCAAACACAACAGCAACAGTCCGTATGGTTTTCACTCCTTAAAAGAGTTCGAAACCCCAAAAAAGATCTGAATACAATTTGATATGCTGAAGCAGAATTAGGGTTTTAATCAGTCCTTAAAAAAATCTCAGCCGCACATTCCAATCAGTACCAACAGATAAGACTTGTAGTAGGGTTAATATGAAACCCTAAAACTGATCAATGCTGAAACAAAAAAAAAAAACTTAAGAAGAGCTTCACAGGTAGATCACAAGACTCGGCCCAGCAGCAGGGTTTGCAGCAAGATTAGTAGGGTTTGCCGCAGGGTTAAGACCAAACCCTAGAGAATAGAAAGAAGAAAACCCTAGAATGGTTCGGCCGCCCTTTCTAGATAGGTCCAACCTATCTCCTCTGATAGTACTTCTCTTAGAAAATAAAATAACTTATAAGAGAATGATGTTCGCTGCCTTCCAAGGTTACCCGAACCCTAGTCCTCTCTGATTCTTCCTGATCACCAACACTTTGCAACCGTGGCAAGTCTTCAACAGCTGCTAAACCCYCWGGYGATCTCCAAGAATCAGTCAACGAACTCTACTTTCTCAGCTTCCAGCCCTAGATGGTTCTCATGTGGTCGGTTGGACTAGACTCACATGAGAAACCCTAACCATGCTCTGATACCATGTAGAAGTTCAAGACTGCTATCAGCCTTGAACCCTAATAGATTTCAGGTTCGAAAATAGAAGGAAAATGTAGAGAAGAGGAGATAAGAGAAGAGGAAGAGAAGAGAGAACTGTAGAACACAAAGGGTTGAAAGGAGGGACAGAATTTGAATGTTCTGCCGCCGCCACTTCTATTTAGTATTTATAGGTTATGCTCATTACATGGAAAGGACAGATCTGCCCTTAGTATTTACATGACAAATAGAACAAAATAAAACTGAAATAAATAGCAATTGAAATAACCAACTGACCACCAGCTAACCCTAGGATGACTAGAACACATTCTACCCTACGAACACAGTGGGACCATAGCTGTGGGGCCCACATCAGTGTTCTCTACAGTTACAGAGGCAGGCAAGAAGTCCATATGATGAAATCGCCCACATCTTTTAGAAAGTGAGTGGTATAGAGAAAAGGATACTTTTTAAGGCAATGTGGCAGGGGCCACTGTACTGAAACTTGCCACATGAAGAGAGGATCATGTGCAAATTGCAATATTTGGTCTTGGTTCTTTACCAGTACATGCCCTCCAAAGATATCATAACCCCATCCCTATTTCCAAATACCATAATCTCAATGTATAGTCTATAAATCCTTTTCATTTACCAGTGATGAAATAAAAATCATCTAATTTCCTTTCTAATCTATCTTGTCTGGAAGTAATTGCCTGTGGTAAAACAAATATTATAATAAGACACTGAATAGAATAGAATGGTGGAATAGGATTTATGTAGTCAACCCCAAATAGTTGGGAGAAGGCCTTAAATGATGATGATGATATTGATGTTGCTGCTGTTGATGATGATGTAATAATAAGATGCAACTATTGCATTGATTTTGTGTTTCTTTTCTAAGCATTCAATTCATAAATGTAGAGAAAGTGTTCCATTAATGGGAATGGGCGTGGAAGTCGAGCCTTTAGAGGAGTGTGAATAACTGAGGAATCTTTCATATGGTTATGGTTGAGGTGCAAAACCCATCTGTATCTTGTTGTGTGCCCTCGATAAACCTTTTTATAGGACTTCTACTTGAACAATAGAACATTTGAGTGGATAATGTAGCAAAGAGAAAACCCCAATAATTTTCTATTATTATTTAATTTTTTTTCCATTAGAAGGTGGGGCATAAGGCTGACATGGACTGGGCTAGTGAAGAAATGATGAGTTTCAATGATCACCTATATGATGGCAGGTAGTTTTAGTCATTAGGTGAACAACTCTGACACGTTGAAGAAATAGGTAAGGTCATCTAGAGGAGCCTATCTGACCTGAATAGCTTACCTCTCTTCTTGATCAGTTCCTTGAAAACCTATTAGCCATGATTCAGGTCTGTGGACAAAACTATGGTCTTTTTTCCAAAATTTTATTTTCTCAAAATAACTGCCTTTCCCTATGTTTTGCAATTGTGTTCTATATACTTCTTGCTTTTGGAGATTGTAATCCAACAGAAAAAGAATTCTACTCAAGTCTTCAGTTTTTTGCAGTTAGAATGTTTATGGAACTCAGCCAACCCCATATAGTTGGGATATGGCATGGATGATGATGATGATAAATGTTTGGTCCATATGCCTGACCACTAATTAGCAAAATTTACATCAGACTGATTTATGAAGTGCTTATGACATAATGGCAATATATTTTCTGGTCATGACTGTTATACCATTTGGTCCACTTCATCTTTGCTGAAGTGGGAATTTTAGTGCAAAAGTTTCAGTTTTTCTTTTTGGTTAAGAGGACAAGATTTTATAATTTCATTCCATCTTTCTAGCCATTGACGTTGTGCTTTTGTGGATTATAGTCATTATTTAGTTTACATTAAATCTAATTTAACATTCTTTTTCATGGTCTCAATTTGCCAAAATAATTTGAATCGACTCCCTGCTGATAGAAAGTTGATTCTATTTAACCAGATATGACCAATGTCATTGGTGTTACTTCAACAGGTATTGCTATAGGATACCTGATGATTACCCATTAGCTTCAGCTGCACCCTTGCTCTGTGCTGGAATTACAGTCTACAGTCCCATGATGCGCCATAAGATGAACCAACCTGGTAAATCCCTTGGGGTAATTGGGTTAGGAGGCCTTGGTCATATGGCAGTGAAGTTTGGAAAGGCATTTGGACTACATGTAACAGTTTTCAGCACAAGCATGTCCAAGAAAGAGGAGGCCTTGAATCTTCTTAAAGCAAACAAATTTGTGCTTTCGTCTGATCCGGAGCAGATGCAGGTAATATTCATTTAGAAGCAGTTATTAATATGTCCTTTGCAGTTTATTTTCTATTTTTTATTTTTTAACCTTCTCTTTACAGGCCGCGGGAAAATCTCTTGACTTCATAATTGACACTGCATCTGGAGATCATCCATTTGATCCGTACATGTCGCTTTTGAAGACTTACGGTGTTTTAGTCTTGGTGGGTTTTCCAAGCGAGGTCAAATTCTATCCTGCAAGCCTTAATATAGGTATTCCATCTTGCAATCCTTTGAAACCTGACAATGTATTTGCTTCATTTATCAAATAACACAAATTGATTTTGGCAATTGGCAGGTATGAAAACTGTTTCTGGTAGTGTAACAGGTGGCACAAGAGAGACACAAGAAATGATAAATTTCTGTGCAGCACATAAAGTATACCCTGAAATTGAAGTTATCCCTATTCAGTATGTGAATGAAGCTCTGGAGAGAGTAATAAAAAGGGATGTGAAGTACCGTTTTGTTATTGATATTGAGAACACCATGAAGTGATGCAGGAAAGAAAAAGGGTATCTCGCCCTCTCTACTCACTGTGCGTTTTTAATGTCCTAGGGTATGGAGCAGCTTCTGGGCTTTAGACCATATACAGATGGATTTTTCCAAGAATATAAATAAAAGAAAAAGGTATCTGACATTTTTAAGTGATAGGTGTTTGCCAATGTATGCCAGGGTCTAATATGAGATGTAGACTGATTTTATAAATTTTTTCCTACTTTATTACATGTGTTATTGGGTGTGTTTCTGTATAATAATTCTCAATCTATATTTTAGAATTTTGATAATCATTAAATTGGTTAGAGATATTCATAATTGGTGTGTAGGCTAAATGTTCTCAATCAGTGCATCTAGCTTATTCTGACAAGGTTGATACTTTTGTATTCCTTTGAAGAGTGGTTTGTCTCAACCACTAGAGTCAAATTCAAGGTATGAGTGTGAGTGTTTTGTGATATTCTAAACTGAACCGATCCAAATTATTCTTAGATTTTATGATTGGTGGAATATCTAGATAATTGTATATAGTCCCGTAAATACCCCAAATATGTTTTCTCTGATGGATATGCAAATCCACCAATAGTGGGTTTCAAAAGAGTTTGTTTTATAAAATGTATTTATATTAATAAATACTTTATTTTCTACACTAGTTTGCAAAGTATTTTTCCTGGGATTTCCCTCATGGTAGAAAACATAATACTGTATTTTCCAGAGTAAGGATTAAATCTACCCCAAATTATAGTGTAAGGCATCTATTATGGTGCAAGTGTTGAGTAGGCTCAAGAACCTGATTGACATGCCCCAATTTGGACTAATGGATTTGGGCTCCAAGAGTGGTGGAGCTTGGACATAAAAGGCTGAATGTCGAGCCGATTTGCTTGGTGCGATTTCTTGAGGAGAATTAGACCATAGTGGCATCCTAGGGATTTGATTTCAGGGATGGGTTTTCACTTTTGTTGGGTCAAATTTGGTTCCTATGAGTTCCACACCCTATAAGCTACCTTATTCATAGCTTTTTAAGAATAAGCATTCCAAATCTAGTTTGTTGAGAAAAAGGAAGGTTCTAATTCGATTAAGATTCTTTCTTAACAATAAAGAGGCCTATTTTAGGCCATGTTTGGGAGTGTTTATGTTAAAAATAAGTGTTTATTGAATAAGTGCTTAAAAATAAGTATTTATTCGAATAAACACTTATTTGCATTTGGCATCAAGCTTTTTCACATGTTTATTTTAAAAAACAAGCATTTATTTCCCTACCTCTTTATTATAGCCGAAGAAGTTTTAAGTAGAGGGCTTTCTCATTTGTTTTTGGATAACCCTTCTCTTTATATCGGGTTCCTCGAGGATGCTCATGTATCACTCACTATTTATACACAGACAACACCATTATTTTTGTAAATGGTACTGAGAGTGCTCTAGTGAAACTCATGGATTTCCTCAAACAATATGAACATTCCAGGCAAAAAATTAACCTGAGTTAGAGTGCTTTTTATATATCCTCCAAAGCCTCGAATGCTCGTTGTAATGTAGTAAAGGTTGCGTTAGGTTTTGAGAAACACCCTCTCTTGTACGAACCTTGGAGCGCCAATTCATAAAGGTAAGGCCATACCCTATATGTTTGAGGAACTTTTTGCTAAATTTCAGAACAAAATTGCTTCTTGGGAAGGTCGACTTCTTTCTTCAGGGGGCAAGCTTATTTTGCATAAACATGTTATGGCTTCTATGAATATTTACATGATGATGGCTCTGGAGTTGCCGAAACTCACCATCTCTAGAATGGAGAGACTTCTAAACAAATTCTTATGGTCAAGTCCGAGTGAGGATAGCAAGCATAGTTGGGTTTCTTGGAAAGATGTTTGCAGGAATGTTGAGGGTGGCCTAGGCTTAAGGCAACTACGTGATGTCAATAAAGTCTTTAGGCTTAAAGCTTTGTGGAGAACACTAAATATAGAAGGGGCTTGGCCCAGTTTCTTCCAATCCAAGTTGATCAATGCCCTCACCAAGAATCAGCATTACAAAGGTTCCTCTACATGGAAGAAAAAAATTTCTTTACTGGAAGAGTTTTATACTTTAATTGACTTGGCACGTTAGAGAGGCTAAAATGAATTTCTGGCTTGAGAACTGGTTTTCCAATAGACCATTATTATGGCATGCCCAAAACCCTGCCGAGGTGGATACCTCACTCAGATTATGTGATGTTCTTGACTCCTCGGGTGCATGGAATTGGAACTCTATTAACAATAATCTGGAGCCATCTATTAGGGAAGAGATTGCTGCCTTGGATTTACAGTTGAAGTTGGGTTTGCAGTCGGAATCAGAATCAGAATCAGAATCAAAATCTTTCTAAATCAGAATCGAAATGGTCCATTCTCATAGTCTGTTTGGTTTAGAGGGGAATAGGAATGAGAATTAAAATCAGAAGGCATGGGGTTTCATTCCCAAGGAAGGGGCAAGGAATGGCCATTCCCTCAAATGGGGGAATGCCATTCCAGCAGGAATGGGAATGGGATTCCGATTTCACCCAACCAAACAGTTGGAATCGTTCGGTTATGAAAGATGTTAGACTCGTAGCCAATCAGGTTTTGTAGTGAAAAATTTTATGAAACCGATGGATCCCAATGAAGATGGTCATTCATTGCTGGAAAATTTTAGTGGGTAATATTCCCACTGCTGCGGCTATCCAGAACCTTGGAATTTTTATGGCTTTAGGTTGTAACTGCTACAAGGAGAGGAAAGTTGAAATCACTGATAATCTGTTTGGCACCCTTCCTACAAAGGTTTGGATTCATTTTAGTCAAATTTTAGATATCCCCTTGACTCCTCATCAAGCATTAGAGATCGAATTCTGTTTTGGTTTGACATTGTTAAAAACTGCAACTCCCAGCTGAATTTGGTAGTTGCTTCCTTGCTGCCACTAATTGTTTGGGAGATTTGAAAAGAAAGGTGCCTTAGAATGGAGGGCAAGTCTTGCTCTTCCCAAGTTATTATTCATAAAATTTCTCATTGGAATCATGATATGAATTACCCAATCCCGAGCCAACCTGCAATAAAGAGAAAATATCTTCTTAAATTTTCTCAGTATACCATTCCATAATGGTCCTCTTCCCAGAATTAGAGTTGTTAAATGGGAACAACTACCAGTTGAAAAGATTAAAATTAATGTAAATGGAATGTGCTCAGGTAATCCAGACAAGTGTGGGGGTGGCAGCATATTTAGAGATGAGCATGGATCCTTTTATCTTTGCCTTCGCCTCCTTTTACAATTTCGGCTCTAATATTATTGCTGAATGTCGAGTCATTTTAGACGTTATCATTTATGCTAAATCACTCGGTCTCAATTCGGTGATATAGCCTTATAGAGAGTGTTTCTAAGGTATTGGTGGACATCATTCAAGACAAAGTTGCAGCCCATGGCACCTTTTATGTTGGATCGATGACATTCAGGCATGGTTTTAAAAAACGATCCGGAAATGGAATCGTTCTGGTTATCGGTTTTTGGGTTGATGGTCTGACCATTCAGTTTGAATGGACGGTCCATTTTGACAAAAAATTAAAAAATAATTAAAAATAAAAAATGGCCACAAACCGTTAAACGGGTCGATGGGTCAACGATTTAACCACCCGGGTCAATGGGTTATTAACTTTTTCAACGATTTTTTGCCAAATATTGGGTTTGGAGTAAAACAGAACCGGTTGTCTGAACAGTTCCCGCCTTCCCGGGCTGAATGGTCTGACCGTCTGAATCAACAACAGTTCAAAAACCATACATCCAGGATTTGCTTGCCCAGTTCAATGATATTCAAGTGCAGTATACTCATAGAGAAGGTAATTGTGTAGCAGACTCGCTGGCTAAACTTGCAGTGTTGGAGGACCAATCTCCAACCTATGATCATATCTCTTGCATTCCATGTATGATGACATATTGTATTTGCTGAAAATCAGAATCGGCTAAGGGAATTTTAGGCTTGAGCGTTAGGGAGTGCTTTGTATCCTGGGTTTTGGGGCAAGGCGGGCTAAGTCCTCCCCTGTATTCTCTCTTATTTGGAGTTCTGAGATTAAAGTCCAACAAAGCATGGCGTGCCATAGGTTCAAACCACTTGCCAGCATGTACCAATTTCTGCCTTTTTGACAAATTGAAAGAGAAAGATGAAATAATAGAGAGAGCCAAGGTTCGTAGTCTTTTCTGAACTTATTTATTAGGGTGTTTTATTGCTTCTTTGGTTTTATTTCTCTAGGGGTTGCAATTTTAGGCTGATGAGATGTTCTATTTTTAGGCTGAAGCTAGTATAAATGCTTAATCCTTGGAAAAGTTAGTTGAGGAGAACCAAAAATTGGTGGTCGAGTGTGCCAACCTTTTGAGTCAAGTGTTCCATGTCTCCAATACTCAAATTGCTTAGTCCTTGTACTTGAACACACTAATTATTTCCCTTAGAATACCTTGAAAACTATAAATGTGAAATTTTCTCAGAAGAGTTATCAGTAATCTTGTGTGTGTTTTGTTGGATGAGATGGCTTTTCTATTTATCATCTCAGAAGAATATAAAAGAAAGGGTGGTTCTACATCCTCTGAAACAATGCAATTTTTTAAAAATCAACTGTAGTAATATGATTTTCTACATGGTTTCTCTGACCGACAAGAATCAATTTTAAAAATCAATTGTAGTAAAATGATTTTCTTCACTGGGTCGTTTGGGTTCATTTAGGGGTGTCAATTGGACTGGATTTTGTCTAATCCGATCTGGCCCAATGAGTCCATTACAGATGGACCAGGTCTAATGTAATCTAATGAATACTTTGGACCATTTTAGACTGGTCTAATGCATTGTCTGGTTTGTCTAATCTGTTCAAGTTTGTTTTAATTTAGATTGGTTTCAACCCAAGTCCATTGACATCTGTATTCTTATCTTCTATTAATGGACTAGATATTGGTTCAATCCAACCCCATCCAATATAAATCCATTATGAATAGATCAGGTCCAATCCAATCGAATAAATACTTTGGACCGTTAAGTTTGGACTGATCCAATTCAATGTCTTATTGGTCCATCCAATCTGTCCAAATTGATTTTGATTTGGATGAGGTCCAACCCAAAATCGGTCCATTGACACCCCCTAGATTCATTGCAATTCAATTGTCTGATTTGAGGCATTGTGTTGAATTTTTTTTTTATAAGAAACTATAAAATTTCATTAATATAAACAGAAAAATATGTACAATGGTGTGCTTCAATGAACATAAAATAGCTATACAGTTAAAGAAAATAATGAGCGGGCTAGGAATTGGGAATTCGATGAAAAGAAATACAGCCCTATTAGGT